ATAAACCACTGGATGGTAGAGAAATGATGCAAGAACTACCAATGATAAACCACTGGATGGTAGAGAAATGATGCAAGAACTACCAATGATAAACCACTGGATGGTAGAGAAATGATGCAAGAACTACCAATGATAAACCACTGGATGGTAGAGAAATGATCAAGAACTACCAATGACAAACCATTGGATGGTAGAGAAATGATACAAAAACTAGCAATGACAAACCACTGGATGGTATCGATGACAATAACTGCATGACATAGAATTAAACAATAATTAAAAAATAATATATTTATCAACTTTCAGCCAATTATCAAAGGTCATGTATTGATATTTTATTTAGGGTGTCTAAAAGACTAACCCTTCAGAGATTCATGCCTTGTAATAATTAGCTTAAGCACATTGTACATAAATTATGGCGTGAAATAAATCCCAGAATTGTAGCTCGATATTTGCTCTAATTTTTTCAAGGTTATTTTTTAGAAAATACGTCTTGATAACAAAGTTTTAGGTTACTGTAAATCGTAGATTAACGGTGTCATTGTATTCTGCACCGTTTTGCATACCTTGAATTCCAGTGGCAGCAAAAGGAAGCGCCGCTTTSGACCAAGAAATTAGATGTTTTTTGCAGATGTCACCTTTTCTATTGTCGCTATACTACATTTCAGAAGCAAACGGCTACTGACAAAAGAATTACTTTTTGGCGAAATTCTACAAAGTTATTACAGGCAGCATTTTTGTGGCTGTCGGAGACGTCTGACACACATCTTTAAAATATGTTAAGACTGGTGTACGCTTGGAAAACGATACCTTGCTAAAGGTTGTTTGTTCAGGTCTGTTCGACCTTGTTCCATTCGTTTGTTTGTTGGTGAAGTCAACAAAGCATCCATAAACTGCTCGATAATTGAAAATAGAACAGTTCAATTTGGTTCTTTGGTCTGACTGATGGAGAATTTTTGCTGTTATTCTTAAATTAACAGCTAATGATGTCACAATGCCAGTCTTTGGTGGAAGCGTTCGCCTCGGGACAAGTCGGCTTTAAGTCATCCAAAAAAGCTGTCTTAGTAATTAACAAATAAATCACAATTTCTATCTATTCCCCTGACTGCTTTMACAAGTTTGAATGGATGGTTGTAAAGAGCTGATAATTGTGATAGCAAAAAGTGCCTCGTTTGTAGATTGAGTACTTGTTCCTTGTGGCTTTGCACCACTTCACGTTTCCTGACYGCCTGTAATTTTTCTCCTCGTCTATAAACCACAACATCAGTAASATCTCCAAAAGAAGTAATATGGTGATAAGATGTATTCATTGCAATTGCTTCATCTTTTATATGCTATCAACGTTCTTTAAACCTGGAAAAAGTCAAAAAATACATGTATGTATCAGTCACGAATACTAGAGGAATRTTTGCCAATCAATAAGTGAAAACCTGCGGAGCACGAACAAGATATACATGCAAATAAATAAAATAAAAATCATTGAAGTTTGGATTTAACCTTTTTTTTACATTTTGGGTTAAAACAATCATACGAATACCTTATTAGATATTGGTTACTTTTTGTTTCGCTATTATTTATCGGCCAGAAATTCACTGATATTTCAGTACACTACCTTGAATGACTCGTAGAGTCCAAGCTATAATTGACTGTATAGCTTATTAAAAACTGCGATACACATTTAAAGACCTTTAAATCTCTTCTCATGCAAAGGATCAAGAAGTACCCATGTGCAAGCTCTTTCAAATGCATTATCACTGAGCCATTGATTCAATAAGGACTAAAAAACTGACCCCAGCAAACGCTTCTATTTGTGTAGCACACGGATCGTGTTAGTATTTTGATAAAGATACAATCGTTTTGATTGATACAACTCCAAGGTGAATGAGCTATAGCTGAATCAACATGGTCAAATGTGTGTGTGGCAAGCGGGTGGGACCGTTCTATTCTTGTTCAGACCCAGCATGACATAAATCCTGATCCATGCACGCTAAAATTAAGAGAATAAATCAACTTTAATTCTGTGTATGATGGATTAATAATTAGCGTTTGATGGACGATCCTGGTGCTTGCATTAGTAGAGGTTATGTTGATGTTTTTACAACGGAAGGTGGTCGCTGTGCTTCGAAGCCTCCATTCATCTCTAAAACTGCCTACTTTAATGTAACATGAAAAATCAAACCTGCAAAATCAAAGCTTATTGGAACAGTGATATCTCTTGAAGAAACAATTTGTTACTTTTTCCTTTGARACATGTACTGGAAAGGTGTGCCACAAGCCCCTAACTGTTTTGCWTGGCATGATCTCATTGCTGACAGAGGCTAATATAGAAAGATTCTTTTTTTTCTTTTTATCAATCGCTAYCTAATCTATGTAGTATTCTACTCTACACTACCGTTGCTTCTATTTCCAAATTAGATTTTTAGAACTCCTTTTTCTTCTGCCAGGCCAAGAGATAGTACAACTGTACATATACCTCACTCAGTGCAGCTTTGCTGGTAATAATACTGAGGATGTTAAACAGCTCCACTGTCCAGAGATGCTTCTTGCACCACAAGYTGTGTATAGACTTCTKCAAGCTTACACGTTCATTTTCCGAACAGGAAACGAATTGTTATTTTTGCCTTATCACTGAGAACTCAACCATGCTCCTTCCTTCATAATACATGGGTGTTGTTTCATTACAAGACAGATCCTTGCTTTCTTTAAAATGACTTACAGATAGCTTGAAAAATCCATCAGTATTGCTTACAGAAAGGTATCTTTCGAGTTAACATGTTCATTAATCTAAAAGAACAGGCCTTTTTCTCGTTAACAAAGGACAAACATTTTTATTGATAATTATCTGATTACAAGTTATCTGAAAATAAAATGAACTTCTTTAATGAACTGTTTTCTAGCAGTACGCTGCAAGTAATATCATTTAAATGATTACGTTTTGTATTTACAATGAATACGAACGAGTTTGGACTCTTACAGAGCCAACAATAAGTACATAAATTTGTACAAATTAAAGGTGTACAATGAGCAATGCAAACATGCTAGTGCTATGAGTAGTTACAGTTGAACGAACTGTTTAACTTTGCTGGATATATTGTGTAAAGCATTGATTTGTTTGGCGTGGTTTCACAAGGACTTGTCGATTAGATCAATTAGATAACTTCAAGTGATTGTTTGTACAGCTTATTGAACAAAATAGAGAGACGAAACAGATGACGTAAGGATGCCCTTAAGTTTACAATCGTCCATAAGTCTTCATGCAGAAGTGCCAAATGAGAAGTACATACATATCAGACTGGCACTTTGAGTAGTGTGCAACCAAAGTCAATGAGTGTCATTGTAGTTKTTTTCTACAGAGATTTAGTAGTTCATAATCTCATGACTTTGGAGATCCAACTGCTGTGAAGCAAAAACGAAACAGACGGGCAACTCAACAGGGAGCAAAATAGTCCAAGCACGTCAACACAGAACGCGCGTATTATTCTCCTGTAAATGTTCATTTATTGTTGTTTAAACCAGGCTCCTTCCATTCTCCATACACTGAATGCATAAGAAAGCCTCTCATGAGCGATAAACGATGAACTCAGCGCTGAGCCTGGGTGCTTCTCGTTGTTCCCAAGGACTTGACACAAGAAATCGATGTATCGTGCCGCAAGACGTAGTGTTTGAATCTTTGAGAGTTTATCTGATGGCAAAGTAGGAATTATCTTTCGTAGCTTGTGAAATGCATCGTTGAGTGCTTGTGTTCGTTGTCTTTCCCGTACGTTAGCTATGGTACGTTGGTCGTTCTTACCACCTCTGCGAATGCCATTTCCGTTAATTTGCTTTTTGTATCTCTTCTTCTGATGATTGTCTGCCGAACAATCTGGTATTCTTGGAAGACCCATGACTTGTTCTCCTTGTGCTATCGTTGTACAGGTAGCTTGAACGGACGTGTAGATTCACGAAATCACTTCCCCTGTGAATTGGTACAGACTAGAGCCAGTAGACGAATGTGCGTTACGCTCACGTTGAGCGACGTATGCTTGACGAACCAATGTATGTCACCTTTGTATAGTGAATAAACACCGCTATCAACTTTCGTCCGGTCTGTCCGTACTAATTGAAATGCATATTGGTTACCGTGYAAGCCAATCACGATGCGAGCAACCTTTGATGCTTTAAATTTAATTAATGGTACGTCTTATCTGGCGTAATTGGTAATAAATGTGATATTTATAAACAGTTTCGGCAAGACAAGGTGTCAAGCACACCAAAAAAGCCGCGACAGGTCCCATCCGTCTTCACTCGTACCCTGAGGATGCGGCGGCCAAAGAATGTCAAACCATCTTCTGAATTTCGGAAACGTAACGTTGGCTCTCAAATAGCCTAAAGGATCAAAGTGTGTGGGTATCGTGATCTGGATAGCGACCAGCTATATGAAAAATGATCAGACAAGCCGTTTGCAGGATCTCGCACGAAAGTCAGTCGTTCGCTTGTTTTTAGCGGCAACTGGGAAAGGAACCGCGAAATCGTACTGTCAATCTTCGCACCCACTTTACTCAGGGAGATCTCTTAGATTAGATCAAAGKGTGTGAACTGAAAGATGGCTTCGGATCGCTTACTCAGCTACTTGAAAGGTCAACAATATTCGCCCCGAATTCACTTCAAATTTTACGCCAATGAATCTGAACCGTATGTTGCACAGAGACGTTCTTCGTAGCAACCTATCAAACGAATCAATGTCAGAAGCAATAATGTCCCTTGTGCGTTTCTTTATGTCCACTTAGAAAAGCTATWCAATTCCAATGCACAATATTTTGGTGTTGGATAGAAACTAATATTGATTTGGAAACTACAGCAACATGTTTCAAGATCTGCTTAAAGTTAGTTTGTTAAAGTAAGAAATAGTCGATGGAATCTTTTGGAATGCCGGAGTCAGATAAATGATGTCAAATCTCATCAGAGAAAGTTCAGAGTTTTCTYGTGATTACTGTCGACCTGATTAGACAAAACGCGCACCGAATTTCCTCAGGTTTTCCATTGTAARSTCACTCGCGCAAATAATAATGTCCTGCCGGCGAAAGAAGTGACAAAAATCAGTTCAAATTCATATAAAAACCGTAAAAAAGGCWACCGATGCAACACATGCCTTCGTGCGATGGTAGGTAATGTTATACACGGAGCAACAGCTGTTAAAGTCATTACAAATACACAATGATAAACTAAACAAAGTTGTGTGCTATCACATCACGCTAATGATCCAAATTAGATCTATCTGAGATGGAAAGTCTAGTCGACCTATWCTGTACAAGGTTTAGTGTTTTTAGCTATTATAGTTACCTGATTGAATGAATAAAACCAAGTGGAAATTATGAACCTCTCARGAAGCCCAGTTGATCATGAATACCTCAACAAGTGATGTATCAATATAAAATCTTGACCTTTCTTTGTATTGGTACCTTCACACGGGACATATAATCTAATACATAGTGCTTGAGGCCATTTTAGTGCAGTCACGGCGCTAATGCTAACTTCTTTGATTGTTTTTGTTTCTGTTCCTCTGCTKTCTGATAATAAAGTCACTGACGAGGCCACTTATGCTGTTACAGAATGAGGCACACTTTTTCCCGCTAAAACTTGACTTTCTTAATTTTGCTCTGTTTAATCGATATTGAGTTAATTAATCTAAAAGAGAAAGTACATGTTGTCAAGCCATTGTCGGACAAAATTTTGTTTATCCAATCATGTTCAGACACTGACATAAACGATCAAAAATGGGAACGCTATGCGAATGAGTTGTTGTATTATGTAATACTCAGCTGGAAGAACTGAATAAGTGGTGCCCATGACCTTCAAAAGTATGCATTCCACCAAAGAATTCCTGTTTAAACGGCTACGTGTGGTTATCTTTTACAGCATTTATAAACTAATTTATACGAGATAAGATACCGAAAGTAATGATAGRATCTGGTTCTTAAGCGTAAAACTTCCACTCATGAGGAATGAACAAGAAAATATTCAATGATATGGTGAGGTTCAGCACGCTGTTCACACAGCTATTTAGGGCACAATAAAAGTGATCACGTAGCTTCAAAAGGTTGATATGACGATTCGGTAACCATAATATTTTTCGAAATGCGCAACAAGATTTTGCACGGTTATTTGCGCATGGAATAAAATATAATCAAATCCTATATCAAGTGGCAGATCCAGGGAGGGGCAAAGGGGGCCTATAGCCACTACTTTGAACATAAAAGGTTAACTGTTTTTTTTTTGTTGATATTTTCAATGTTGTTTATAACAAATCAGCCCATTTAGCCCCCTTTAAAACCATGCAGCCTCCCCCCTTAAAATTTCAGCTGGATCCGCCCTTGTCATGCTCGTTTATTTGTTATATGCGGATCTCCTTCGAACGGGCTGTAGGTCTGATAAATTTGAGGGGTTTAAACAACACAAAAATGATCACAAAGGAGACCTAAAATAGGGAAAACTTGGAAGAGAGTACACTCATGCACTTGTTGCAACCACCATATAATCAAAGGGAGTGTAGTAGCCAATATGATAGTGTACAAACATACAAACACCTCAATGGAATTAGAAAATACTTAATGTATATACTTGGTCTAGTATCTGTCCCAGAGGATTATTCAGTTGTCTGAACGTTTCAAAGTTAGTAGAGTAAGGTACAAAAATGGATCGCCAAAACTACCTCAAATAAGCAATAGTACGGCTTTCAGTGTGCCCCTWCCCTATTTTCAATTTTTAAKTTCTTTTAGTAGTTGTTCCGAAGTTGGYKATGTAGGCGTGATGTGTACTAGAARTGCAGGGAAATAATGGCATCCGCTGTRCATTKTCACTGAGTTAATGTTATCAAAGGTYCCCATCTTATAATGGCTTCTCGTCCTTCCAGAAAATCTATGTAACGATTTGTCATACTAGTGTAATGACCCCATTGTTCCCCATTTTTGATTTATATTCCCGATACCACACCTCTGTTGACCTATCTTTCTTTTCACAATGATGCGTTTTTCACTATATACTTTTACTAATGTTGAACGTTTACCGCATTGTAGTTAATCCAAGTTCGTACCAAAAATAATAATAATAATAACTATAAAGTCTTGTGCCGCGACTGACTTTTGATATGCCTTTCCCTTGTAATGGTGATTGCGTGACAGTCGACACGTGACAACCTACCTGATGTCTATTCAAGTCATGTCCACGTTTGCTACAAGAAAGACGCAATAAACTTACTCACATAAAAAGAAACAAGCGTCAAAAAGCATGAACTGTCAGTACAGTGGTGTTTATTACTTATCACTAGCACTAGCAATACAAAAAATGATATTTTTTTTGCTTTGAAACGTTTTCTTTCCTTGTTCTTGCTCTGAAGTCAAATCAACTTGAATATCTTTATCTGAAAGAATTTTGGTCGCTGGCTGAAGTGGGTGATAATTTGAACATAAGAGCAAAACACTCCAATTTTTACGAGATGTGACACAATCAACTTAACATTGCCTTTCAGCGCCATATCCTGAAACAAGTTGCCGACAGCCCACGCAGTGCTTGTACCGAAAGACATRCTTGTTTTATGACAGTGTCACACGGAAATTCAGGAAAAAGTCGATAGATTTAGAGTTTACAATGACAATAATACAGMAAAAACAACAATAACAACAACAATAATAGAGATATTTACAGTAAAAATAAAATGCCAACTCCCAAACAAGAGAATTACAATAACGACAACTTAGCACCAAAAAGATAACTGTAATACTATAAATAATACTAAAAAACTGCAATTATAAAAAGGAAACAAAAACAAACAAATATATGCAGACACACGATAACAGTTACAACGACAAAGAACACACAAAGGCAATAACAGTGACGGCTAATGAATTTGCACACTGGTGTGGTATCAACCACAATGCATTGTGACATTTACTGAATTCTTTAGGTAATGTTGCATTACTGACCCATCACGAGGGAGTAAATATCTGAGCACAAGTGAAAATAAGCAACCCAGTTGAAAGTCAGGAGATTGAAATGTGAGTTTCAGACTAAAGTCAACCTTATTTGACCGGCCTTTTCTATACAGCTGCTACCAAACGTTTTGTCACTGTTGGCCCACTGCAAAGTATACATTTTATTCGTTACGTGACAATCATAGAGATCGTGTGTTCCATGCATGATGACATTGTGAAAAAATCTCGAACAAGGTCATCCCATGAAACCGAATAAATGTCATTTGTCAACTCAATGATTCACCTCTAAACTGAAGATCGTCTAATTCATTTTGCTTAAAACTAATAATTTCAAAATCGTTTTTGCCCACTTGTTAAGAAAAAGATCTTTAAATCTTAGAGAGATTTGAATATTCCATGTTAGAATACCCAACTTCAAGGAAAAATGTTTTTTTTCAAAATCGATAAATCACGTGCAAATCAAAATGGCTAAATTAAAGATATCTGGATGCCTTGCGAGTTCATTGAAAACATTCCTTCCCTATTGCCTTCCACACAGAAAGGAAAATGTATTTTGAAAGTGAAGTAGTTCCGTGGTATTTCTATCAGTACGCACTCACAAGTTACAATTTAAAGCTTTTTATTTAAGTATTTGACTCGCTCCAAGTTTCGAACACGCGTTGTATTCGATACAAATGAAACTGCGAATTACCGAAACCCTAATTCCTCCATGCCTTTAACTCCTTCTCCCAAATACGTTCATTATACTGCGATCGATGACACAACTTACGTGACATCCATTTTGATGCGTGACATGCTAATCCCTCTAACATGCGTGACACGACTGTCAATGTGTGCGGACTGATTTATTTATGTGCGCATGTTCCCTTCACACTTCTTTACTTTATTCTACAAATGATCTTAGAAATACGAATAATCAAATAATGATGTACATTCACAATAATCTTTTACTTTATTTTCACGACAAATATTTACGTATGAGAATAGGTAATGTGAAGGTGCGTCATTTTCTAGAGCAGAACTTCGATTATATTTCCGCCAATAAAATTATATCAAAAAATCTGTTTTTATAGTGTTAGCTCAGTAAATATGTAGAGCGCAAACACTAAAAGCATGATAATTAACTARTGAAATTCTGATTAATGCTAATTTCTTTGTTTTCTAATGTCTAATCGGCCAATTGAGCACATCTGGTGAGAACATTTTCATGCTTTTTAGTTTTTGATCTTTAGTGCCGACTTTTGTCGATAAAAAACAAGCAACGCCCCTTTTTCCCAACATGCTTCGTTCATACAAAATGACATCAATACACGTTTCAATTAAACACATTTTCATTCGAGATTTCAGACTGGCTTCTYAGCTTTCTACTCAATGAAATACAGTATAAGCATTATATAAAACTAATTCCTTAAAAAGATCTTGGCCTCAAGTGATGCGACTACCGCCACACAACATAATATATCCTTCACCCAGGATCCTTCAGCTTGGCTTTGTGGGTTCTTTCTTGACCAAATTTAGTCTCTTTGTGACGTCAGTTCTTTTGAATGCTATATTATTTTCTCTCGTTGTCAACGTAAACGAAATATTTCATCCTTGAAGTCACTCAGGTCGTCCTTAGTGAGTAACCATGGAGACAYACACACCACACGAAGGAAGCACTCTTTATTTGGTGCACGACATCTCAAAAAATAGGAATTTCTGCTTCAAGAACACCGCTGCAATTACAAACAAATACATTCAGATAAAAACAGATTGAATGAAAAAACGAACAAACAAACAAACAAACAAAAACGCTGTCGGGATCAGTCAAAATGRCCGAAGGGGATCATGGGAAATGTGGAACATACTTGCTTAAAAGTCAAAAACAGTCAATTTCGACGGTATTCGGGAACAAAGAGACTCTTGTACATATGATAATATATTATTTGCCTTCCCATACTCCCTTTCGGTCTTGGTTTCGATTACACTAGTCTTTTTGAATCCGACAATGTTTAAATTCTGCGTATCTACTCGAATTTGAATGATTTATTCTGTTATTTGGCCAGAGGTTGTTTAAAATTAGAAAATTCTAGACGATATTCTAACTTACAGTAAAACTTTAGATAAAAGTTCAAATAATATTGTCTTGGGGTTTTTCATCCCGAAATCGAATACCATTGAAAAATAATATCCATATATACGCTCATTATCTTGAAATATGCCAATATAACCAAACCATGTGTTATCGTGGCTTATCGGTGAAATAAAATGCTATAGAAACAAAAAACCCTTCATAACATAGTAAACGGATATTAACCGAAACATGTTGACAAAGTTCATGGCAGGATTGGRCCACCTCGACGGTAATCGRTCAGGAAGACTATTAAACGTCTATTACCCTGTCATTAATAACAGCAAGTATMGGTTATTTGCATCATCAAAAGAACCTCTATAGAAATTGAATAGCTACTCTAAAGCMCCTTCAGTAAATTCGAGCAAAAATTTCGCTTGGCGCTGCTGACAAGAGCAGCGAAGAGCGTAAAATCACCGTGAACCGCATTATTTTGATGATGGTTCTCATGTAATCAACGTACATCAAGGCGTTTGACTAAAGCAACTTATGAAATGCTCTGAAAAGAAATAAATGTCTATCAAATTGATCAACAGAATTCTTCAAGATATTGTACAACGTGCACCAAATTTAAAGTGCGCAAATTTGTTGAGTGYTCATGTTCAGCCCGTCTTCGAGGTTGTTTGAAAGAAAAAAAATCTGGATCAGCCTCTACAGACGTGTATAAAATCTAGACGTATGTCGAAGACTAGCTGAGTCTAACAATGGTGTTGCCTGTTTGATAAATGTTTATGTTTAAATAAAAAATAAAAAAATGCTTAAAATTGTTTCAAACGTGAAGAAAATGTCCTTCTATGCCTAATAATGATGTAAATATTTTAATGAACTTTTAATGAGCTGCTGGGCGTTGCCACAAATAATCGCAGGTAATAAAAAATATTCATTTTCTTTTTGTTTTCAGAAAGTGTACATCATTATGATAATTATCACGCCATTCTTTAAGGSATGATGGGAAAAGTAGTCTCAACGAATATAAATTACTTTCCGATAAATTAGCCCCTAGAATCTGTTAGTTTCTTTTCAGAAACGGCACAAAACATGCATGCATTCAAATAAAAAACAAAAAMWGATTTGGAAGATTATTATAACAAACAACAACAACAATAAAAARTGTAAAGACTATATTTCCCATCATGCTYYGTTGCACAAAATGGCGTCACAATACAATTCTTATTGAATCACGCATTGTCTTGAATCATTTGAAGAAGCTGAACATTTYAAATYTGGTGACTTGTGGAATAACAAATATGCTAATTATCATAAATGATGGTTAGTCATTTGGGCTTCCTGTGGTKGATCTACTATGAGCGCAAGACATGACGGGAWTACAAASTCAGTTTCATTTGACTCGAAATGTCTTTTTGGTAATACTTTGGTAACTTATGGAAAACAATGCTAYTACTTAATGACAAGCCTTTGTCAACTTAAATGATTATTTRGGAAATAATTATCCGGCTGATCCGGGAGATGAGGCACAAAGATCACAGTCTGGAAACTCCCAGATTATCGGATAGAGCCGGCAGCTATAAAAATGACGAAAAATGAACCGTTAAATTAAAAATACTTTCCATTTGTTCGTGCCAGCCTGTTCGYATACCGTTGAATTTCATTATAAACCGCTTTTTTTCGGTTCMCTCTAGATGAGTAGAGCTATAAAACTTTGAAATTCCCAAAATACTAAGAAATATAATAAATTCTGCTACATACAGAAAACCACGTTTTTTTTCTTAGACGGATCATTAAAATTTATTCATATTTATAGAAAATGAAGTGCTAAGCCAACTTGACGCCAAAAGTCAACCAACGAGTGCCTTAACCAAGCGTGCGCAAGATCTGTTATTGAGATCAACGTGTAATTAAGGTGGGTTTATCACGGATAATCGTATTATGAATCAAATCAAATCCCACTAAATATAAATTACTATCAAAAGGCTGCAAACCTTGAGAGGGATTATCCTAATATCGTTTTTCGTTTGGATATATCTGCTGCTGCTGTAGTTTGCTGTTGTTATTTTGCTTTGTGTTTTGTTTTTCTGGACGGTTTTACTCGGGGCTGTGACAACTACCACAAAACTTTATTTTTAGACCGATTAGGAATGGTTCAGAAAGCCTATTTCAAACGCTGGATCTCTCATGTGCCAGTGCAAATTTCTGCTGGCATTTTCGTTTATTTATTACTAAGCATTGCTCATTTGCGCAAAGAAGGCAATGCCTGAAGGCATGCAGGRCGAGAGATGCTCTGCTCTCGGAATGCGTAATAAAAACTTTGAAACCGGGTTTCTAAATCGAATTTTAAAATTTAAGTCCATGAAAAAGATGCAGATGTGGAAAACACATAGCAATTCTCATACAGTCGCAATTCTCATACAGTCGCAAAGTAGATAAAATGTAAAAACTTCCAAAAGTTAGAAAAAAAAATACGATAAAAATACAGTGATCTGATACCTTTTAAAATCAAGATTAAATCTTAAAACGGTCACTTGTGTCAATACCCGTTTTACTTATCAAGAACAAACAAAGGCTCTGCAAAGAAAATAGTCTTTAGTCATTAACATCAGGCTGCCTATCGTACAGTAATTGCCACAATTAATCAGTGTGGGGAGTTAAGAATTCCAAAGTGYAGGTTCTGTTTTGAAAGAAAACGTCTGTCTGAAATTCTTTCCCGGCGGTCGCGCCTTTGGGCTGTTTTTACAGTACTAGCCGAGCCTATGGTAGACCAGGGATGTGAATCATGGCCACCTTGACAAGAACGATGTCCAAACAGATTACATATTTGTGCGAAAGCTGAGAAAAGTGAAAATGGCGTTAAAGGATTAGCCTGTGATCCGATAGACAACGGTTAATCGCAAGATGCGGTAAGATGGCCTTTTTTATTTCAAACTTGAATCATCATTATATCACAAAGTTAATCAGTGAAGTCGAGGGCTGATAGTGGTAATACTACATATAAGTTGACGCAGGTCCGGAAATCGAACAAGATGAAACGCCCAAGGAAAGCAATAGTTTGAGTCAAAGATATATAGCTGTTATGCACAATAAAAATAGCATTTTAACATCWAACGATTGATTCCCGATTCGGAGAGATTTCCCAACTACTTCATTAGCGCTAAACCAAAAACTTAAATCCAACGTCTCTTTTCTTTTTATCAAAAAAGGCGAGTTTCATTACTTTATTTTGTTAATAAGAAGAGAATTGATCCTTGTGATTATTGAAAACAGACCTCTTCTGAGCAGCTAAGAAGCTTAGAATCCTCAAACGACGACGAAAGTTGCACTTAGCCGACTGACGAAAAAATGGATGAGAAAAAGGCAAGGGTTTCATTCACCACAGTGACCATGACTTTATTTCCGTTGTTTATTTTACATCTGGCCGTCATTTACACGACTATTTTCGACATYACGACACTTGCTGTTGAACTGTGCATCTGCAAACACTTTCACCAAGTTCCCGACTAATCACACAGGAATGGRTCCTAATGATCGTACGATGAGCACAGTTGGACGTACTTGCTTAGTGTAGTGTTTGATTTCGCGCGCTAAACGTTTTCTGTTGATCCTCAAATGACTGCGAGTGTAGCAAGACAGCTACAGTTTAACTCTGTTTTATCAAAAAGGTGGAGGAAGTAGGCCATGTTATCTCGAGTTGTAATGATATATAACGGACGCCTCAGTTACTGAGGATTAGCAACCGTCCATGATTCCTTCGAAGGATTACGAGAATATGATCAGCACGATAATGAATTGCTTATGGAAGTGTTGCACACGAAACAACGCTTATAGTTCAGTTAAGTTTTGTTAATGTATAAATAAACTTGACTGCAGAAATGCCCCATAAATAATTCAATTACTTAGACTTGATTGTAATGGTGGATGCTTTGKGAGCAATTGTCATTATGTGATTCAGTGGATTGGAACAACTAAAACATCAACTTAGGTTGAATCGCTTTCATTTTACACTCTGCAATTTTGAGTTCGAAAGTGAAAACTTACATTGAAATTCGTCTAAACAATAGGATATAAACCAGCATCACTTTCCAAAGAAACGATTGTCGTTAGTCTGTTTAATTGAAKAGATAAATGTCGATAATTTGTTTCGTAAAAAAATGTACTTACCACTTTAAGAAGACTTAAACAAAATGTACAGACTCTTCTTGCAGAAGATGGAGTGATTGCAGCACGACTACTGTCCATGGGAACATTAGGGCATTGTGTCCCACTTATTAAAATCGTTCCAAGGTGTGCAATGTAGCTTGAAGCAAGCCGTAATGTTTCTATCTTTGATAATTTCCTGTCCGATGGTTCGGTGGGTATCAATAATCTCAAGGCATTAAATGCAGCGTTAACGCTATGTGTTCTATTCCTTTCCCTTGCATTAGCTGCTTGACGCTGTTTGCTAAGCCCAGTAAGTCKAGGCTTTCTCCTTTTCTTCTTCCCTTTTAGACTACCAATGCCATTTTCTGAATCCGAACACTTTGGGTCTTCACTACCATCGCTGCATTCTTCTTCGCTTAAAGTAGGTTTGCGTTCCTGACGTCTTCTTAAAACCTCCATTTGAAAAGAAAAGGTTAATATTCACATGAACRTCAATGTCAAGGTGCAGTCGTTTTATACGATTAAGTTTGGAGAATCGTAATTTTACCAACGCGACAACACAAACACCACACGCAGCATCAGTTTTGAGGCGGTAACTTCACATGAGATTCAGGAAATTTTCGCGCCAATCAGACATGACCCGGCACGTAAGATCGTTTACAAAACTATCTTTACTTGTAATAGATCAGTCATGGCTCCATAAAAACGTTGAGATGTCGAGAAGATAATTACTCCAATCGCCTGGAGGTATTTGTGGCATTTTACGCATCAATCTTTGTCAAAAGTTGAATGAATTTGGTTTGATTCTCGACACGACGCTACCCTTGACTTCAGGGAAAGGGATTTTAAAAACACATGAAGGTGTTGGACTAAATTGCTACCGCGTTGAAAACGGTGTTGATAGGTTAACTACGCTAGGAAACCTGATTCACTTTAATACTGGAAATAAAAACGATTGATTATTCATAAGAATTTTAACGGGGAGACCTAAAACAGGTTTTGAAAATCTATTTCCAGCAAAGTAAAGGAAAATTTTAAAATTGCTSATGAATACTTCATGAGAGCATAGAGACAATTGGCTGGCTGACATGACCTCTTGCTCTTTCGTCGTTAGCGGTAGACGACCATTAAACTTTCGAAAAAACCGAAGCACACTACGATTTAACATAACAACGAATGTGAAGTGGTCCAATTTTCTTCAAGTGGATTCCAATTTCCTCAAAAGGTGTCAGCAAATCTTCTTTTGACATGGGCGCTCAATTTGATCTCATTATTTGGCAACTCAATATATCAATAACCAAGTAACATCTCATAAACAGAAAATACTYGGACTTTCTCGGTATAATTCAATGATTGAAGTACACTAGACATATTATACAGACAAATCAAGTTCAGCTGAATATATRTAGAAGCATTTAACCATGATATCACAGCATTTTGCGATAAGAATCATAAGCTTTTAATTATGCGCGCAACTTTATCGTGGTGCTTCATCCACGTACTCAAGATCGTGTTTGTTTTGACTCTCTTTGCCTACATTTAAGCACCAAAACACCAGCTCTATTCCATTCAATTATAATAAATGTTATTTGTATCTTCCGTGTGCTTCGTTAGTTTAGAAATGCGATTTCCAGTAGGCATATTCCTATCACAGTCATGTAAACTGATGGCTAGTYGTATTACATACGTGATTGTAACGATTGTGTTGAACTTATCCTCTTAAACCTGTATTTTTGCTTCTTCACAAACCAATACCTACCTTATGGTGTGACRAGTCAGGTTCTTTACGAGGCATTATGCCGTGGATTACCAATGCCTTTACCAAACAATCTTGCCGTCAATATATTCCAGCGAATGAGGCAATACAATAATCGTGAATGAGGTCAATCGGCCTAGAGAACTCTGTATAAAAGTTATCGACCATTCAACTAATCTAATCTTTATCAAAAACCGCGCACAACTTCACAGTTTCCTTGACATACACTCAAAGAAAGAAGGAAATTATGACATATTGTGGCACTACTCGTTGTAAATGACTCAAACTTAGCTTAGCYTGTCACGTGGTCCCGTTCGGTTTTGCCAAAGAGAGATAATGATGACAGCTGTCAAATAATTGAATCGCTTCCTGACCGTTAATGGACGTCAAGTCCGGCCAAAGAACCAAGTAGTTCATCGTGTTGCACCCAGCATGCACAGTCTTTCCGGTGTATAATCATGKGTTTTTTTTCGACACTCGTTAATGCGAATTAAAAAACTTAGGTGCGCATGCGTTTTCATGCATTTAGTTGATGTCGTCTCAAATATAGACTTTCTTTCCTGTATTGCTTGGTTTCAACTTCGTTTTTCTCGGCGCCACAAGACCTGTCTAGCATTATCTTTAGCATTATCTAACATTATTTTTTGATTTTTCGACCTGCGTCGATTACTCTCGGGTAGACCAATCGATGAAAACTCGATGAGCCGATAAAATTGCTTAACTGATCGCGGTATCTACTAATGTCAGTCAATGCYCTGCCTAACCCACAAGCTTTTTCCGCTTCAACCTTGCGTGTTTCGATGACCAATCGATAGTCGCACAGAAATCGATTGCTAGTTTTAATGGTTATTTAACGAGTGACATATTTTCGTGAGCGTCAGTCGACTGCTGCTACTTTACCGTAAGGGATCGATAGCGCATCACAATATCGATCGCGAATCCATTGTTGCTACAGTGCATTCAATATGTCCGTGAAATATTTTGCAAGAAATTGCACAAAATTGCACTAATTAAAACATTATAATTCAACGAAAAGTGTCCTCCGCTATCATTGGTGGAGAGTCGATCACGTGACGCGAGAGAGCCCGCCGCGGAGGGCTACTATCAACACATAGTGCCCACTGCCTCAGAAAATTTGGTTGTTGACTAATAGAGCAACAATAGAGGATCTCGGGTATTATGCTGTGATAGTTGCCCTTGGAAACTAGATGTTACCCAAAACTTCATAGTCGCCAGAAAACGAGTTGTTTTCGTAACATCCAGTTTCCGTGGTCAACTATTACAGTATAATGTCCTTGATTAGACTCTATTGTTTAAATCTAATCAAGGTAAATATATAGTATACAGCAATATGCAGAAATTATGATCTTTTTGCTCATATTCCAAGTATGCATAAAATATATCAGAACTTATGGGATATCATCGCCAATATTTCTTTTAAAGTTGCCTAGCAGTAGTTTCTGAAAAAATATTGGCGATGATATCCCATAATTTCTGATATATTTTATATGTACTTGGCATATTAGTCAAAATGATCATAATTTCTGCATATGCTGTAATATAAGTCTGTATTTGCTGACTATTAGTGTGACTATAAAAGTGTGAAATCCAAATACACACACAAAAAAAACGCCAATGCGATTGGAGCATACTAAGGAATATTAGCGGAAACAGTGTAACTTTTGAGCACCATTTTGTACTATTTAAATCAAGTAATCTAATCTAATTTATCTTAAATATAATTGTGATTTCTCTGATCAATCCAAAGCTACAAAAATATTACAGTAATTTCTTTCACACCATTTCTTCCCATCAGCGTTTTATCGGTACTTAGTTTTTTTCTTTTTCTTCGTTTTCTTTCTGTTAGTTATCTTTCAGGTTTAACAGGTATCACGAAGTCAACGTTTTTCTAGAATATCGTAATATAATACAAATCTTTCCCAGTGATTTTTGCTTTCTACAGTTTTTGAAGTCCTATAATTGCAAAATTTACAAATGAGAGGGTTTTCGACTTTGATGCTAAAGTCTAAGTAGAAGTTGACCTTGATTATTTTACAGCGGTAAATACAGTCACCTCGATCACATTAAAAGAAATATTCATATTTACATCATTAAACGTCAAATTGTTAGCTAGCTGGGTGGAACAACGTCTGAAGCTTGCTTAGGGGGTTCTGGGTGAACGGCTGTCAATGTAACACAGTCGTTGTGGTCAGCGTCACTCTCCGGTGTCGCAGGACATGCGTATTTGTTCACACTAATGTCATTTTCCATCTGTTTATCATGAGGAATTGAGTTTTGTTGTAAATGTTCATCAATCTTGTTGTTTTCTACTGAAGGAGTATCATTGTTCACAGACAAGTCGAGAGTTTGTTCCGCAACTTTTTCCGGCAACTTCTTCTCGCCATTAGCAGTCTCTTGTACAGTGCCTTCGTGAGTCGTGGCCAGCTTTGTGTGTCGTTTTGCCACCATTGCTACACGTTTTCGTCGTTTTCGTTTGATTGGTGTCAGTCCTGAGCCGTCGGTGCTTCCAACAAGCGATGATTTTCTTTTTCGTTTTCTCTTTTTAACGATYTTTTTAAACTTGGGTTCGTCTAGCCCTTGGTGTGCGATAACAATATCTAGTTTCTTGTCGATGATTATGTACTGAAGATCGATGAAAGACTAAAAACACAATAACTTGACATTATTACATTTATTGAGCTTGTACAGTTTGATTGGATCTTACAATAATTAGGATGATGAGTTGAAATAAATACTGATGTCCACGTGGTCGGTGATGTTCATCTTAACCAAAGCATTTTTACATCGATAAAACGGGAAACATTTCGGCCGTAGAAAAACAGAAAAAAAATCAATTAAATTATGCTGAGTTATAAAGCACATCACGCAGAAGCAAAAAAAAATAAAAAAAATAAAAAACAAAACAAAAAACAAAACAAAAAACAAGAAAAGATAGGAATACGAAGTTAACTCGCGTAATATCTCTGCAATTGAGCTCTGGAATTCACGGCTCTTCCAACACAGTGCGCAATTCAAAGTAATTAATGTTAAGGCTCGTTTTCACTAGACATAATCATAGCATAAGCATAGCGACAAGCATGAGCTTAAAACTATGAAAAATATGGGACTGTTTTCACTTGCGCATGAAGCTCAGCAATAAGCATAAGCATAAGCATATAAGGAATTTCAGCATGTTCGTTATTCTTGTGCTTCTGTTTACGCTCATTCTTACCGCTATGATTATGTAAAGTGAAAATTAGCCTTAAGTAAACATAAACTTGAAGGCATGAATATGTGTTTTTAAGTCATGTAAGTTTCGTATCAAGGATATACTTTAACCAGTTGTAATCAAATTTACCTTGTTATGTAAGCCATAAACMCGCCATAGTTCTCTTARTGATAAGTGATCACTCAATATCTCATCACTTCGAATAATCTCCACCTTACAAAGACAATTGAAACCAGGTTAAAGTCAGACTACTACTATTATCGTGGTCTATTATTATTGATTMGACAGAAAAGGGAGGCTTACATTTACTTAATCTGACTAAGTCTTCACTAGAGGAGCCTTTTGTACAGCTGTCTTGTATCGATCTACCTGAATGCTCTTTCTTACCTAAATTCTACACTGTCTTTCTGTGCGATAATTGAGCTAAGGAGAAACAAGCCATAATAATCATTTATCGTAAGCAACAATTATGTCGGTATTAAATGGACGAGAGGGTGTGACTAAAGTTCCAGTTACTTACAAAGTGTGTATCAGGGATCCCAAACTTCGTCGACACAAATTTCTTGAGAACGTTGACTGGTAGTTGTGAAGAACATCGTAGATATCGAGTTGGGAAAACCTAACAAAAAATATCAAAATTTAATTTTACYTAGATATGTCAGATATGTAAATGATTCAAACTAAATGCCAATACTTTACCGTTTTTTCTTGCCAAAATCTTTTGCGTCTAAAAACAAGTGCAAAAAGATAATGAAATGCAAATAATCTTACGCTAAACAAACAGGCTTCAGGAATTCAATGGCGCAACTTTTGCAGTTTTTTGGTAATAAAGTAAAAATTATTTCGAGTGCTTACCCATAATACTCTAGGGTCACGCAAACAGGGTCCTCTATGTCGTCTTTCTTGTTAGGTTTGACATTGCTGTCATCTTKATTAAGAACCAACGTGAATCAGTTAAAAAMAACTASGCATATTTTCTGTTTGATGACAGTATTGCAAMAATCGYCATGCAGATTTATAACGCGACCTGATGAAATCGTAATTATGTACTGACCTTTGGTATCTTCTTCTACACCTGTATCAAACTCTTTACGTCGACGCAGTTCGTCTAATGGAAACAACCGAGCAATCAATAAAACCAAAAAAGCTCATTTATCGAATTAAAACTTAAAACTAGAAAATATAAATTTTAATACTTAAAAATAAAAAATCACACACACTAAAGTTCTGAAACAGATGGCAATAACCAAATAACCAAATAACCAAATAACCAAAAAGTTGGGGGGAAAAACTTCATAAAGGAAAGAAAGGATCAAATAGGATCCCAGAGAAGACACTTTACTTACTATCGTAAAGACCTGGCACAAGTTTGTAGACAATATCTTGTAAAACACGATCGGGACTACAAGCAAAACAAACAACCATTTATACATTTATAATTCTTCACTGTGAGGTTGTCCTACGCCAAATCCAGCTCCATAACAATACCCTGGTAAAAATCACAACAACAAATATCGCCACCGGAGAGAGAGAGAGAGAGAGAGAGAGAGAGAGAGAGAGAGATCTTTAGATCAAAACAGAGCAAAAATGCAGTACTGTACAACTAAGTGTCATAGCAGGACTCGAACTCTTGAACACCGGTCTTGCCTCCTCCTGTCCACCATGAACGTGAATTTAAGTTTTGTTGCTCGTGCTAATAGACTTCTGAACCTTTTATGTCACTACTTGATTTTCAATGCATTGTGGGATCAGTTTCTTGACAAAACAAAAGAAATCCGCCATGTTTTGTCCCAAACATATCCTAAAATGCATTGCGTATACGGCACATGACGTAAAAAGTTCAGAGGTCTATTGTAGTGTAGGTGTTGGCTATTTATTTTGATAACCTTTTCGTAAAGATGAAAAGGCTCGGTTTCTGAGTGTGCAAATTAGTAGCGGAATTCAAAACGTATAATGCAATTAAGGACATTATCTTGATTAGTGAAAAGTACCATCGCTGTAAGATATTTTTTAAGCACTGACCACGTGATCTTACCGTATGTTAAGATAAGGTCTTGTTTTGTGGATTTCTGTCTCACATACGGGACATCTGTAGCTCTTCTCCAACCAGCAAATGATGCAACTTCTACAAACTTAAAAGGGAAAAAAACGAATATTGAGTTTCGACATGACTGACTGATGTACGGACTGACTGACTATACATACAGCAAATTGGCTGACAGATCGCTCTATGGCCTTACTGACTGTCTGACCGGGTCATTGAATTACTGAATGACTGATGGATGTTCTGTCCGACTASATAAACTCAACGCCTGACGGAGCGCTCTATGGACGCACAAACTGTTTGACTTTCACTGCAAGACGGACTGATGAACGGACTWCCTTTAAGACTAACTGGCTCTATAACCAAATGGCTCACGAATATCCATGGAGTCACTAATTGTTTGACGGACTCGCTGAGCTAGTACTTACTGCATGACTCACTAATGAACTGACTGACTGACTGACTTTCTCGACAAACAAACAGCTTACGGATCACTCTATAACTATGGACTAACCGTTTGACTAAATCATTTCACTGCATGACTGGCCGTAAACGGGCTGTCTTRCTGACTCTATAACAAAATGACATGACGGATAGCCATGGACTCACTGTTTGACAGGCTCACCGAGCTACTGCATGACATACTGATGAACTGACTGACTGACTTTTTCGATAAGCAGCTTGCGGCGAGTTAGTCGCGTATAACCGATTACTGAACGTCCCAAAACCGCGGAAAAATAGAGGTTAAACGGAAAAAACGACTTAATGATCGCCTAACTGATGATCGGACTGACTTAGTTACTGACACGATCGATGACCGTCCGAACGACAGTCTAACGTACCGCGCTACGGACTAATTCACTGACTCACGAGTCATTCTACGATCGRAGAATCGACTGATTGTCCGACTTGCTTCACGAACTACAGTCAACTCTCGATATTACGGACACCCTATCGGAACCGTAATTTAGTGTCCGCAGTAGCGAGAGTCCGTAGTAACGAGAGTCACTTTCAGTCATTTCTTTGTATTTTTCGCCGGTGATTCAGTATTTACTGTCCGCAATATCGAGGTGTCCGTTGTAGCGGGTTGTCCGTAAGGCAAGAGTTGAGTGTATTCTTGGGAGTCTAAAACTAAAACCGGTGCAAGAATCGAAAGTGACAGTAACGAAGTATCGCTTCTACAAAAACGTAGTCTGAGATGCATCCTCTTTCACTTTACTAGAACTTCCAAAAATCTCTGAATTAAAGCATTTATATTAGAATCTACAAATTTCCCTGTTCATAAGGAACTCCGACGAAGTGTTAGCTTATCTAYTTATAACGGAAATTTCAAAAACTGAGTAGAGCGCCCTGTTCGACGAATCTGTTGTATCTCATCCGAAAAGTCACTATAATATTTTCAAAATTCTTGTTTTTTTTATGGATTACGATATCAAGTCGGTTAAGTCTTAACTTTTTACTATTTGAAATGTTAAAATTTTATTTTCGCTCCAACTGACGGAGTGTCAGTTTTTTGATGTTAATTCACACCGAAAATGCAAAATCAGTACTTTTCTAGTTTTCACAATCCCGCCTTCTCTCATTTGATCTGCCTTTCAAACTGAATTAATATTTACATCAAATTTACAACCTTTAAAGCGCGCGATTTTTTCCAGTGAATCTGTGTTTATCTGAAGTCTAGTTGCAAAACAGCCGGGTCTCAAGTCGTCGTTCTATCATTTTTCATTACTGTCAAGACTAAAATTCGTAAAAGTTGCAATTTTCAAAAACCGTTGGACTTTTCGTCCTTACTTGCCGATAACATTTTGCGCCGATGTATGATATACACGAATTTACACGCACTCCTGCTAGAAAAAATCTTCCCACTTTTTAAACTGACACTACACACTTGCCTAAAATCTAAACTAGCCTTCGTGGTTGGAAAACAACCGGGTCCCTTACATGAATGTAAACACTCGATGATAGTAGTAGCATCCACAAGGTAGCCTCCACACAACACACATATGATGTGAGGGTTCAGGGTCTTGACATTCATTGAGCGAAGCATCTTTTTTTAAAGCGGCTTTCTTATGTTCCCTGTTAGAACCAATAAACAAAGTCTATATTACTGTCAGCGTGACAATTTTTAAAWCTACCCATCCCTTGACGAACATATTTATAGCTCACAAGTGCACATTAGTCAATAACAATCAAAATAACTAAAAATAATAATTCGTGGGTTTGATTCTCGTTAATATAGCGAAAATTTAGTTAAAAAGATCAACTTATTTTTTTTTTACAAAAATTTGAGAATTTTCACTCTCAAAAGACGTAAAAATAAATTATATGGAGCAAAATTCATTCCCGGCTTCGATTTTCAAACGCAACTAGTTTGAAACTTTTTGTCAGCGTATTAAGATATATTTGAAGATTCTTTAACAAAATCGACGTTTCTTTTAAAAATCACTCGAAATTAAACGCTACATAAATGTAGCAAGAAAAACGTTATATAAAGCAGTCCGTCCCCGAGGACTCTACTTTACATCAATGCGGATAATTTCAAACTCCGTTTGGACAAGTCACGGCATAAAAGCCC